TTTCTGCTACTTCTTTGTTGTAGTCCAGAGCTTTCCCAGAACTTCTTTTGTCTGTTTGTAGTTGTCTATTTACTGTTTCTGTAAAGGGAATGAGTTTGGGACCGCCTAGCCTGCTGTCTTACTGACATCAGTTCTTTTTAAAGTTTCAGAAAGAATGAAAGAGTCTAGAAAGGTAATAATAAGAAAAAAATCTAAAAGTTGGAACTCGGTGAGGGATGATTTATCTGTAAAGTTATTAATTACCCTATGCACAAATTACACACACACATACACACAAAAATATTCGTCAGGAACTAAGGATGTGCTTTATCGCTAGTTATCGTATTTAGTATATTCATCTTCTTTTGCTTAAAATAGTGTTTGATTTTTTTAAATATGTTTCACATTTGCCCTCTCTATTTCCATAGTTTATTCATAACTCTAACACTTAATTTAGAGTGGGAATTATTTGTTTGTATGAATGTCTTCCCCATTAAACTTTGGATTCCCTAGAGGACAGGGACTTCACTCTATTCATCTTTGTTTCCGACTCAAAACTCTGTGCTTGGTGTACCTAGTTACACATAATAAGTGGTTGTTAAAGGATGGAGGAGAGGAACTAAAGTCTATTTGGGTGTCTACTTGAAATAAACAAATTTACATACTCTTCAGGCTTCAGTAAGCCTGAACTATCTTCTGTTCTTCGTTCCACCCCACCTCACCTTAGAGTATTACTTCATGTCCTCCCACCTGCTCTTCTCAAGGCAGAAAATTGCATCTTCTTTTATGCAGATAACAATAATTATGTGTAGAAAACGTTTGGTGTATGTTTTCTAAATGTGAATTCCCAAGTGCTAAGAGGTTGGACACCCTCAAAATGACTGCTGATAATGAAGAAGGATGAGAAAATTGAGTTGTTCAAGAACAGATTATTTGCTAAACTATAAAAATTCAGTGTTTCAGTCTCACTAATCTTTAGTTTTCTATTAGACATATGGCCTATGAAGGGAAAAGGTTATTGATATTAAAATACATTTTTTTATGTTTTGACCCCCTTCACCTATTTTTCCTACCATCATCCACTCTGGCAATGACCAAACTTCTGTAGACATTAACTTGGCTTTCTGGTTTGGGTTTTTTTTTTTTTTTAATATTTCACCTATAAAAGGATAAAATGGTATTTTTTTAAGATTTATTTATTTATGTATACAGAACTGGGGTATAGGCCAGAGGTGCAGGGGCGGTGAGAGGATTCACCAGAGACAGAGTGGGGAGCAGAACAGACCAACTGATGAAGTACATTGCTGAGGAGAGCAGCGGGAGGATCAGGAGGGGTCTGCCGTGCCGTGTGGGTCAGCTCCAGGTCTGGGGATCGAACTCATGCTGTAGTGGCTTTAGCTTCTTAGTGCTGTGTTTACCCACTGTGCCACCAGGGAGGACCCTATTTTTCTTTTTTTAATTTTAATTTTGGGGTTGCATTTTTGCTCTTCCATATGTATACATACTTATAAGTTAATTTATCCATGTTCAGTACAAGTAAATCAGGTAGATTGAAATTTGTGTAACAGAAATTTGGAGCTGTATCAAGAATTCAAAACCAGCTTAATCCTTGATTTTTTTTTTAAACATAAAAATCACAAGTGGTCCTTTGTAAAAACTAAGCAACATCTTCCCAGGTTGTTTTAAGAGATAATAAATTTTCTGAGTTGTGCAACAAATCCCTGTGGGAGCAACTAGTAGTTAAGAACAGAGTTTAATTAAACCAGAAATAAAGCCTAGATGGTCTGTAGCATGTAGAACTCCTATATGCTTGTATCCATTTGGGGGGAAGTCTGATTGTGTCATTAATTTCTACTTTCCGTTGTGGAGGGAGGTCCTGACTGTTCCTCAGAGAGTTCTGGGTTTTACTAAGAGTGTCTGAAGATACAGGAGTCACTCAGAAACTGGTAGTGTTTGGTGAGAATGCGTGCTCAGCAGGGAAGGCACTCATACCAAGCCATGTTTAAATTATTTTCCATGTTTGCAACACAAATAGAAAGTCACAGTTGACTTTCTATTAAAAAGATAAAT